TCGTGCTGCCGGCCATGGGCGCGCTGTTCCCTGTGGAAACGGGCAAGGCGAAGTCCACGCTGATAGTCTGCGCGAAGTGGTCTCAGGCCGCGAACATCTCCACGGACGCTCACAAGGCCGTCAGTTGCCACCGGGCGGGCGTCATAGGAGTGCAGTCCTTCAGGAACAAGGACATACCCGCGGGGGGCAAGCTGAAAGCGCTGCAGGACACGTGGGAGGCGGTCAGGTGCTTGATCCTGGAGGAGGTGAGCATGATCTCGCCCAACCTGTACAACATGCTGGCGTTCCGGTCCTACCTGGGACGCAAGGCCGAGTGGGGCGCGGAGGAGCGGGAGTACGACCAGGTCTGCGGCGCCTTCGGCCGGATGCCCATCGTGATCCACCTGGGGGACTTCCTGCAGCTGAAGCCGACGGGAGGCAAGGTGTCGCTCATCTCCAGCTTCGAGGAACTGGCGGCGGCGGGCATCAACCTCGCACCAGAGTGCCAGGCAGTGATGAAGCTCTTCTGCAACACGCCGCTGTGCTTCGAGCTCCAGGCGTCCAACCGCTTCAAGGACCCGAAACTCAGGGACCTCATGGCGTTCCTGCGCAAGCCGGGGAAGCAGGTCCCGCCGGCCATCCGGGCCACGTGGAACGCCATGCAGCTGAAACCCGATGATCGTAGACTCCGGGAGGACAGGTTCCAGAACGGCCACATGATCGGGTCCTATTGGGACACCGTGGCGCGCTGGATGAACATGCGTGCCCAGCGGGACGCGGACGTCCTGAAGAAGCCTCTCTTCCTCGTGCAGGCCGCCGACAGGTCTGCCCCGACGATGAGCAGGAAGGGCGCCGCCAAGATGATGAACTGTGCCAACCCGAAGAACACCGGTGGCATGCGCGGACTGCTCCCGGTGCACGTGGGCATGCGGATCCGGCTCCTGGAGGCGCTGGACCTCAAGAACGGCCTCGTCAAGGATGCCGAGGGGCAGATCGTGCACATCGTCGTGGACCCTCGAGATCGGGGCGACGTCGACAAGGCCGAGAGAGACGGGGAGAAGAGGATCTATCTAAAGCACTTGCCGCTGGGGTTCTGGGTGCGCATGGAGAAGTACGCGAGCGCGCCCTTCGTGGATGACCTCGAGCGCCGCGACGAGAGCCTCGCGGGGGACCTCACGGGCCCGCTGGTGTTCATCGAGCCCCGCACGTCGGAGCCGTTCACCTTCCGCACCTCCAAGGTCACCCGGACGGGCTTCCCGTTCTCGCGCGGCAGGGTCATCACCACGGTGGCGTGCCAGGGGCGCACCATGCGAGAAGGCGACGGGGCGGGGGAACGGCGCTCCGGGGACGGCCAGACCTCCGAGGCGCGAGCAGTCCGCAGCCATCCTTCGGTCTTGTGGACTCTCGCCCTGGGCCGTCGGCTGCCCGGCGCACTGCTCCCTCGGCCGACGTCGCCCAGGCGTGATCCTGGACTGCGGCCGCCACGAGGTCGGGAACGGCAAGAAGGAGGACGACGACTGGTGGCTGGAGCTCTACGTGCTGCTCTCGCGCGCCACGCGCCACGAGGACCTCCTGCTCACGCGGGCGCCGCGCATCGAGTTCTTCCTGGCCGGGCCGCCGGAGGGCTTGCGTAAGCAGCGGGAGCAGTTTGCGGCGCGCAGGAAGCGGTGCATGAGGGGGGCGACGGCCCTCGCCAAGGAGCTCGGCTTCACAGAGTTTATCCGCGAGGCCTGACCTGAGGAGCGGCCCGCCCCAGCCGCGCCTTCTCTTGGCTGTCCGACTGCTTGGCCTCGCGCCGCGGACGACTCGCGCGCGTCGCTTTGACCCTCTCGGGGCGATCAGCGCGCGTCGCGCAAACTCCGCATTGCGCTCTGCCCAGCGCCTCGCCCACCCCTCGTCGCTCTGCCTGGCGGCCAGAGCCATGCGCGCTACGAGTCAGCCAGCAATCACTCTCTGATCCGCTCAGCGGACGAACCGCGCGCGTCACTGCGACCCCTTCGGGGCGACCTGCGCGCGTCGCGGGGGCTCCGCCTTGCGCTGCGCCCGCAGCCTTGGTCTTTGGAGTGCGCGGGCAAAGGAGATGGAAAAAATGAGGGGAGGAAGCGAGCGCGATCCTCGTGTGTGGCGTGCCGACATGGGCGTCGCGGCGCGCGGGCGCTGCCGTCGGGGTTCCCAGGGAAGCCCCCTGCAGAGGCGACGCTCAGAGTCACGAGTACCGAGAGTCACGCAGACCCAAACTGTTCACAGTCGTATACATACATTTACACTGGGCGTATCCATGCACGCATTCATGCGAATAGAATCAATCGCGCGCATATTCATTCATAATCAGACTCGCTCGCGATCCGACTCGCACGCGCTCAAGCTTTCATATTCGGACCTATCGTCTTCGTTCGTGTTGTGTGCACTGCCACGCATTTCGGCACACCCCTCATATGGCTCGTGGCCCCATAGGGAGCGCCACCGAAGAAGATATTCACAATTGCGGTACTCTCAACTGCATATGGTTGGGTCCTTCGCCAGGCTAATTTTTCCGCCTTTCAGCTGGTGTTCAAAGTTCACAGGTACTCCAGATTTCGTAATAAAGGGAGGGGGGTCTCATTTCGGGGGGGTCTCTTCCAGGCTATCTTGGAGGGCCTGGGGGGGTCTGGGGACGATGTTTTGGAGGGTTCTCCCACGGGGGAGGTCTGAAATGGCTTGTCTTGGAGGGTCCAGACCCCCTCTCCCTCTGGAGTATTGTTAGTGCAAAAGCAGTCAGTCTACGTGCGCCACCAGTCGCGCGCATCGCCCGGCTTTCCCTTCTGGTTCCGGCCGTGTGCGGCTTTCAGGGGCTCTGAGCCTCGCCACGCGCGGTCCCGCGGGAGCTGCCTGCCTTCGCCGCGCCCTGGCCCGACCTTGTTTTGCCGCTGGCTGGTCTCATCGGCGCGTCGGGGGACAGCCCGTGCGTGGCGTCGATGGTTCTCGCGCTGCTGCGGCAGCCGTGGCGGCGCGAGCGCGCGTGGCTCGGCGCCTGCGCCGCCCGAGCAGCGCGCCGCAGGGCTGCTCCCCTCGCCGCGGCCCGAGGGAGACATCGCGTGAGGCAGCAGCCTCTCCCGTCCGCCGTCGCTTTGACCTGGACTGCCCCATATAATCATTCCATGTGAGCTCTTCGACGAAGGACACATCGCCCTACTCCAGATTTCGTAATAAAGGGAGGGGGGTCTCACTTCGGGGGCGGGCCTCTTCCAGGCTATCTTGGAGGGCCTGGGGGGTCTGGGGACGATGTTTTGGAGGGTTCTCTCACGGGGGGGGGGTCTGAAATGGCTTGTCTTGGAGGGTCCAGACCCCCTCCGTTTTATTACGAAATCTGGAGTAAACATACACTTCCGGCGCTCCGCGCGGATTTCTTGAATCCGCGCCGTGGCCCCCCGGGCGGCGCCACCGGCGCCGCCCCTGGAGCGCTCCGCGCGCCAGGGATGGTGGCTCCAGCGCAGAGCCAGGAAATCCCCGCGGCGCGCCCAATTTTTCTGTTCACGCGTTTCTTCTTTTACTTGTGCAACTATTCCATCTGAGCTCTACTTTCTTGTCCCCCGAGTACGTCAGAATCTGCTCGGTCCTCTCCGCGTATGCTATTTTCCACCAGGATTCAAGAGTTGGTTATGCTATGTTTTTTTCACAGCCCGATCGTTTACCGGTTTTCAGAACGGTGCTCTCGCTGCAGCGTGGGTTTAATTTTCGAATCGTTGCTTGGCTCCAGTCATCCAGAATGGCGTTCTCGCCCTAGTGTTCGGGCGAAGAGAACTATGCACATGCACCGATCCTGGCAAGGCCCGTCCTTGACCCAGGATCGGTGCATGTGCCTTCCTGGCCAGGGTAGGAGGGCGTATGCACCGATCCTGGGCTCAGGATGGGCCTGGCCAGAATCGGTGTATGTGCATAGTTTTTTTTCCTCTAAGTGTGGGTCACTTTTCTAGATCCTTGTGTCGTAGGTCTCGCAGGTTTCACAGGTCCCACAGGTCCGACAGTTCCCGCATGTCCCACAAGTCCCACAGGTGTCGCACGTCTGTCAGGCCCCACAGATGTCCCCCAGTTCCCACAGGCCCCACAGGTCACGCGGTTGCCTCACGTCCCACAGGCGTCGCAGGTCTCACTCGTCCCACAGGCCACACATGTCCCCCAGGTCGCCCAGGTCCCACAAATTGTGCAGGTCCCACAGGTTCCACAGGTTCCACAGGTCCACAGTTCTCACCTGCCCCACAGGTCCCACCTGCCCCACAGGTCTCACAGGTCCCACAGGCCACAGACGTCCCACAGGTTCCACAGACGTCCCACAGGTTTCACCAGTCCTACAGTTCCCTCCTGCCCCACAGGTCCCACAGGTCAGGCTATGTCACGCGTCCGCGGATAGTGAACAAATCAGCGCAATGGGAAGGGATGGGAGGGAGGGACAGGATGTCAGATGTAGCGCGAGCGCACCTAGCCTGTCTCTACTCTCCCCTCCCCATTCCTCCTCTCCTCTCTTCTCTTCTCCTCTCCTCTCCTCTCCCCTCCCCTTCTCTCCTCTCCTCTCCTCTCTCTCCTCTCCTCTCCTCTCCTCTCCTCTCCCTCCTCTCCTCTCCTCCTCCTCTCCTCTCCTCTCCTCTCCTCTCCTCTCTCGTCCTCTCCTTCCCCTTTCCCTCTCCGCTCTTACTGTCTCCTCTCCCTCTCTCCACTTCCTCCCCCATCCTCTCCTCTCCTCTCCTCTCCTCTCCTCTCCTCTCCTCTCCCTCTCCTCTCCTCGCCATCGCTCGCTGTCGCCTCGCCTCGCCTCGCCTCGCCTC